ACACATTAATGATCGCAATAGAAATGATTACCAAAAATACAGTACAGAAACATTGTTTCCAAAATTATAATTAAGATATATTTGTTATAATAATTACAAAATAAGAATTTAGTGATAATTATTAAATTGCGTTCAAACACATCCTTCTCTGCCAATTGGTTTGTGTCCAACCATTTGATCACATCATTCACTTTGTCCGCAATCTCTTGAATTGTGGACTTGATGTTGAAAGCGTACGATTCGAGTCCATTCTTGGCCTCAATTCTTTCCTTTTGTTTGTCGTCCTCCTCTTTGTAAGCGTCGGTCTCTCTAACCATTCTTTCAATGTCTTCCTTAGAAAGCCTTCCTCTATCGTTAGTAATGGTAATCCTGTTCTCCTTTCCGGTACTCTTGTCGACGGCCGAGACGTTGAGAATACCATTGAAGTCGATATCAAAGGTCACCTCAATCTTTGTCATACCTCTGGGCGCGGGAGGAATGCCTGTTAACTCGAATTTGCCCAAAAGGTTGTTGTCTTTAGTCATCGCTCTCTCGCCCTCATACACCTGAATGAGGACTCCGGGCTGATTGTCTGAATACGTGGTCAATGTCTGTATCTGTCGGGTGGGAATCGTTGTGTTGCGTTTGATAAAAGTGGTCATCACTCCGCCCGCCGTCTCCACGCCCAACGAGAGGGGCGTCACGTCCAACAGTAACATATCCTGAAGGGCCGAACTCCTGTCGCCGTTAAGAATCGCCGCCTGAACTGCCGCTCCGTATGCGACCGCTTCGTCCGGATTAAGGCTTTTGTTCAGTTCTTTGCCATCGAAGAAGTCCTGCAACAGCTTCTGGATCTTAGGTATACGTGTTGACCCCCCGACCAGTACTATGTTGTGGACCTGCGCTTTGTCCAGCTTCGCGTCCCGAAGACACTTCTCTACCGGATCTAATGTCGATCGGAACAGATCGGCGTTCAGTTCTTCGAATCGGGCTCTCGTTATAGTCGAGTAAAAGTCGATTCCCTCGAAGAGAGAGTCGATTTCAATGGACGCCTGAGTCGATGACGAAAGGGTTCTCTTCGCCCGTTCGCAGGACGTCCTCAACCGACTCAGCGCTCGCTTATTAACCGCCAAATCCTTCTTATGTTTGCGTTTGAATTCCTGTACGAAATGATTAACCATTCGTTTGTCGAAGTCTTCTCCGCCCAAATGTGTGTCTCCGGCCGTTGCCTTCACTTCGAAGATACCGTCTTCGATGGTAAGTATGGAAACATCCAAATTACCGCCGCCTAAGTCGAAGATCAACACATTCCGCTCTCCCTGTCCTTTCATGTGCCGTGTCTTCAAACCGTAAGCAATGGCCGCAGCCGTCGCCTCATTAATGGTTTGCAATACATTCAGACCGCTTATAGTCGCCGCGTCTTTAGTGGCCTGTCTTTGGCTGTCATTGAAATACGCGGGAACTGTTACCACAGCATTGGTCACGCATTGGCCCAGATATGCCTCTGCGGTCTCCTTCATCTTCGCCAATACCATCGATAAGATCTCTTCGGGAAAGTATGACTTCGACTCTCCCCTATAGTTGACTCTGATCTTAGGTTTGCCGCCATCGGAGACCACATCAAACGGCCAGTGCTTCACATCTGACTGAACCGATTGGTCGTCATATCGGCGGCCAATCAAACGCTTGGCCCCGAAGACAGTGTTGGACGGATTCATCGACACCTGATTCTTAGCCGCGTTTCCAATGAGTCTTTCGCTGTCAGTAAAAGCCACATACGATGGTGTGGTGCGCTGACCATGGTCGTTCGCTATTATCTCAGCTTTACCATGTTCAAATACTGCAACACACGAGTTAGTGGTTCCCAAATCAATACCAATTGCGGCCACTTTTGCCATCACTTCCAACACTAATACTTCAAATGAATGCTAAAAATCTGTTTCTTTCAATTCAGTGATTGAATGTGTGTTTCATTACTTGACTTTCACTCCCAATGAAAAAGCATTGCATTTGAAGCACAAACTCGTGATTGAAAATAGTTTGTTAAATACAGACAAATACTGCTATTAGTTATGAAATGAATGAAGAAATAAATATGACATTTGCATTGATTGTATCGATTGTTTTGCTATATATTTAAGTCATTAAACCAAGATTTGACTGTATATTTGGTGACTGTTTAGCTTACAGTATAATTGCCAACAATTGATTCATTCAACGCTTGTGTGAAAATAAGTTAGTTTTAAAAGTTATTTACTATTTATTAAGTATTTAGAAAAATGTATTCAAATGTAAATCAAATCATTGAAAACATTAAATATAACATTTGTTTTAACAGTTAAACAATAATCATAAATCCACTAAAATAATTATTATAATTAAATTGTAAGCAATTTAATAAAACCAAAACTTCATGTACTTTTTAAAAAATTACAAATAAATCATTAAATCTAAAGTTTTCGATAAAAGTTTGATATTTATTAGATTTAAAACTAAAACTAAAATTAAGATTTTTACAAAATATAAAACTCATACTGAAATGAATAATAAAAATACAATAAATCTAATGTTAATTTTGTAACAAAAAAAGTTTAAAACTATTGTCAAATTAATTGATTAACCGGTTTTAGAGCCCGACTTTGAGGGCACCCTATTAGCCGGTTCTGGTGTTGGGGCTGAACCTCCCGGTGCGGCACTACTCCTGTCAACACTAGAGACGGGACTTTTATGGGGCGCCGATTGTTTGTCCGGACTTTTGGGCGATTTTAAATGTATTGTCGCAGGCGTTGAGTCCTTTGTGGCACCGGTTTTGTCGACCTCTTCTGTTGTAGTGGTAGTCGTCTGTGTATTGGATCTCTTGCTCACAGACTTGTCGTCTTTGGGCGAGTCTTTGGTCGGCGGCACCGGTTTGTTGTCATCACCGGTCGGACCCTTTTCTTTCACAGCTATACGACTTTTATTGGCCTTTCTTTTGGCCTCTATTTTGTGAAAAGAAACAGTAGTTTTCAAAACACTTAGCAATTGCTTATCAGTAGATGTCTTACCAGCGATTCGGATCTCTTCTAACTCTTCTTCGGTTTTTATTACACAACAAGTTTTTAAAACCCTTTCAGCGATTGAAAAAAAGTTATGAAAACAATAATTATTTAATAAAATATGTGTTCAAAGACTTCATACCAAATGAGACCAACGATAATGGAAACAACAAATACAAAAGAGACGGCAAATACGGGCCAAACCGATGGACTACTGGTCGACTGTGTTGTCAATGGAGCCGACGAATCGGTCGCACTCTGAGTCTCAGCCGTTGAATTATCAGCACTTCCAGCGCCGGCGCCGGTGTTTGCCGTTGTATTACTCGCCACAGAAGTTGTCGTATCGTTACTAACACTTCCTGTTGTGGCACTCAATGTCGTCGTTACGGGAGTTGTAGGCATAGTGTGACCACCGCTGACACCGGAACCGCTTTGATTATTACCTCCAGGATTGGGATGCGTTGTGTTGATCTGTCTTAAAATCCTAACCTTTGAGCGAATGACGACTTCATTAGTCCCAACAGTGCCTTCATTTGCGATTAGTTTTCTACCAAAACCGACAATTGGTTTACGGATTTCAACCGATAATACAATCGTATCATAAATTGAGACAATAATGAGTATTATTAACACACGTTTCATAAGTGAAGACATCGTTTAATAGATTCAGTATTTTATGAACAATTGTCTCAAACAAGTTATAAGTCTGACATAAATTCAGTTTGAATTAAATTGAAATCAAAATTGAATTATAGGCAGAATTCTCGTGACGTTTGCCTAAAACAGATTTAATGTATAATTTTTACATTTAAAAATGAATAGATTATAAATTGTTGAGTAAATGATTTATTTCATAATAGCTTAATAATGGGAACAATTGAAATACAATATATGATTAAAAAGCATTGATTATCTAAATAATGATCATATCATTCATAAAACACAGAATTTAAAGAAAATAAGAAAATCATATTTCAAATAATTATAATATCAATCATTAAAATTAAATTGTGTTAAAAAAACTGTTGTGTTTGTGATTCTTGAGATTAGTTTTATAATAATTTGATAATAATTTATGTTTTCTTTTGTTAAAACCGATTAATTGAACAAAAATTTTTGAAAAAAACAATTAGAAAAAATCAAATGACTTTATATACGGATTCAAATATAAGCGTAAAAAATATTTCAATCATAGAATTAAATGAAATAAAAGCATATAAAAAATAGTTTCAATAATTTGTTACACAATATTATAAAAATATATTGGCATTCATTTAGAAAAAAACAGTAATTAATTAAAATCCATATTAAAAGCAGTAATAATATAAATTTATAAAAGTAATTAATAATTAAAATTTCACGAAATAATGTTTAAAACGAAATATATTAAGAATTATAGATTGTTTTGTGGAAATATTATGTCTAAAAATAATATGCATTTTCCAAATGAGAAATAACAGCAAATGTGTTACCAATTGATAGATCAAAGCAATAATAACTGCAAACAGATCCGTTTGAACGATCGATACGGGTATCAGTTATTGCCATGACTTACGGCCAAATGTATGCGAAGTGGAGACTCGTTGTGATACCCTTTACCACATTTGGGACAATTATGAGTGTATTGTTTGGCGTGAATTCTAATCATATGTTTGCGTAAATGTGTGCTTTGATTGAATCTCCTTTCGCATCGATTACAATGATGTGGTTTTACTCCCGAATGGATCAGTAAATGTCGTTTCAAATTGATCTTCTGTTTGAAACTCTTTCCTACATTTGTCACAACAAAAACATTATAATTTGTGAAATCATTATACAGTATATTATCAATAAAGTAGAGACTCATTACAATCACTCAATTATTACAAACTAGTTAAACAATTAACTACTTATTTAAAGTAAAGTTAAACACAAATATCTAATTCTCAAATCGACAAAAATGCAACACTTTTTATCATAAAAAGTGCCCAAAAAAACAAATCTCTACTCAATTGAAACATAAAATGTATATAAAAGTGGTAAATAAATGGTTATATAATTACCGCAATGAGAACAACCAAACTTTGGTGCCATCCCTTCAACGGCGCCGTCGATGCTATCGGAAAACGCATTCACTCTTGACTTTTGTTCGCCTTTTCCACGACCTCTCGGCCGACGAGTGCCCGCTCTTACGGTCTGTTCACTGGTGGGAACAATTGTCTGAACACTGACACCATCTTCTTCTTCGTCGTCATCCTCTTCAGTGTCCGCCTCCCACTCACTGTCGGTCTCCGACTCGTAGTTACCGTTCATATCATTGTTATCCTCTCCCTCTTCGTGTGCCGAAGAGTTGGTCGAAGTGTTATCCATAGGGTCTGACGGATGGATAGTTTGTGAGTTATATAAATGGTTTGTGTGATCACTAAGTGATGCCATAATACCTTCGATGTCCGATAAGACGTTCATATTTTCACATATCATTGACGGCTGATTAATGTCGAGTTCTTCTGATCCATTGACACCATTGCCGTCATTTGATTCTTCCTCCGCTATCACTATATTAGTGACCGTTTGTTTGGAAGTGTTTGTGGCAATCGATTGCTTACTCTTCTCGCGATCCGCACCTCTTGTATAACTGTTAGGCTTTTGAGGAACTGTTTTAGAGAAACGCTTGTCTGAAGCCATTCCTGGTTTAATGGCTTTGGATGTGTTGGGCGTCGAAGACACCACAGGTTTGAATGTTTTGGGAGTGAATGGAATGACTACTTTGGATGTCTTAGGCTTTGATCTGTTGAATGTATTGCGAAACACGGGTTTCGGTAAATCAAACTTTTGTCGCAATGCCTCCAAAGTGTTGTCTGCGAAGTACCCGAAGTCCAGTGAATCCCTCTCTTCCAGACGTCCTGCCATTCAAGCAATTAATTGGTCGTCAAAATGATTATCACTTGAAACAGACCTGAATTACTGATTATCTGCATATCATTCAAATCGATGATTGGTTCCTCTTTTTCGTCCAAATTCTTGTACTGAAATGAATGACAAGTTTTGTTACAAAACTTTTGTATGAAAAGCATTGAATCAAATGATGGCTTACTTTGCGTCCCATTTGATTGACGACTGAATCGTAAAAGCGTTGAGCATTTGTTTGGCGTCTTTTCACCGAACGGGCGATCGAGTAGTTCATCGGATCCGACGTGCCGTCAATGTCTTCGGGCGAAGACACGCTTTGTTTGGCGCGTTTCGTCGCAGACATCTGGAAGACGGGTCCGGGAGTGGCCTGACGTTTGGGCGGTCGACCTCTTCGTCGACTGGGGATCGAGTGGTGCGACGACTGTTCGCCGAAGACATACAACTCATCCATAATTGCTGTCTCTGTTGTGTTCATCACTAGTTGTGATCAGTTGTGTCGTAACGAGTGATAAACGTTATGTGAAAATGCTTTTCAAATAACGGTTTCATAAAAGCACTCAAAAGGCGATCGCTTTTAGAGCCAAAAGTTTGGGTCACGTGTTCAGTTCGGGGGCCATACGTATACATAGTTACGGGCACTGATTATTACATGATTTAATACATTTTTTTGCATAATTTAATTCACATTTAAATCACACAATATTTTATTTCGCATAAATTTTAATCTTAATTTACAAATATATTTCATTTTTCAATATTAATTTTAAGCTAAAATTAAACATAAATACAATAAAAACATAATAAATACTGAACTTTTCCATTGGAGTAGAGATTGAAATACAGATTATATAAAGTTTAGAATAAGTTATAATTAAAATCTAGATTAAATTAGTTTCGTAAGTAAATGATGAGAAATATCAATCAAATAATCACACGTTATAAACATTTTGATCGCGAAACTGATCCTTCTTATCGATATCCTCTCCGCGGTGTAGCGATAGTGAGTCGAAGTCGTTGTGAATGTTGAGCCGTCGGACGTGTTTGCGGTAATCGCTGGTCTCGAGCTCTCTTCGGGTGGGTTTGGTATACAATCGCAACAACAGTGAAGAACAGACAACACTGACAGAGGAGGCGGCCATCGCCGCGGCGCCCATCCATGGCTGCAGAATAATACCCCACTTCAAGAATATGCCGGCGGCTAATGGGATACCAATCGCGTTGTAAATGATGGCCAACACAAAGTTTAGTTGAATCCGGCGGACAGTTCTTCGGGACAAATCGATGGTCGCGTAGACGTCAAGCAAATCGTTCTGCAAAATGAATGGACGAAACAATTAGTTGAAGACAATTATCTAATTGATAACGTAATCGCTGGAAGTACTGCTCACCCGAACTAAGACAATATTGGCGGCCTCGACGGCCACATCGGTTCCGTTGGCGATAGCGATGCCAACGTCCGCCTGTGCGAGCGCTGGCGAGTCGTTGACACCGTCGCCGACCATCGCCACAGTCCAGCCCCGGCTCTGGAACTCCTTAACTTTGGCCACTTTATGCGATGGCAGCACTTCGGCGAACACACGCTTCAGACCCACTTTGCGGGCGATGGCCGTCGCAGAGGCCAAGTTGTCGCCCGTCAGGAGAATCACTTCCAGACCCAACCGGTGGCGCAGCGTATAGATGGTTAGCGTGGCCTCCGATTTGATGGGATCGGCCACAGCCAGAGTGCACACCAGTTGGCCATTGATGGCGCACAGGAACACCGTCTGGCCGTCCTCTTCCAGAGCAGTCATCTCCCGATCAATCTCTTCGCTCACTTTGATGTCGTGTTTGAGAATCCATTTCCGATTACCAATTAATACGGCAAACGTCTCATCCGATAGTTTAAGATCTGTTTGTCTGTCATTTAAGTAAACAATTTTTGTATCAAACTCTTCGAAGTCCTTCTTCTGGTTGTTATTGGGATTCAACACAAAATTCTCGTCACTAATGATCTGATCGGCGACTCTTCGGCTGACCGCGCATTTCAGGCCATATCCCGGTTCGGCCACAAAGTCCTCGCATTTGCCGAAATTATTTCCATTCAAACTCAAGAGAGTGTCGACGAGTTTGCAAACAGCGTTACCGATCGGGTGCTGACTATTGGCCTCTGCGATGCCGATGGCGGCGAACATACGCTGCAGTGAAAGCATGTCTTGGAATTTGTTGAATACAATCACTTTCGTGACCACAGGTTTGCCGTGAGTGATGGTTCCGGTCTTGTCGAAGATGACCGCGTTCAGTTTGTGGGCCTTTTCCAGCGGTTCCGAACCTTTGATTAGTATACCATTCAATGCACCTTAAGATACAAGCATATAAAAAGTTACTCAATATTATTGAATCAAGAATATTCTTGTAATTTAAAACATACCGATTCCGGTGCCGACCATAACGGCTGTGGGTGTGGCCAACCCGAGAGCACAGGGACAGGCGATGGTGAGCACATTGAGGGCGCACTGGAAGGCGAACTGAATGATTACTTCCCGTTTATCCATCATCTCGAAGACCATACGGTTTTGATTGACAATATAATCGTAATAAATGTCTCCAATACTGAGCCAAACGATAAGAGTTAGCAAAGAGATGATCAAAACGAAGGGCACAAAAACACCGGCGATTTTGTCGGCCAACTGTTGTATCGGCGCTTTCGATGTCTGCGCCTCTTCGATGAGTTTGACGATCTGCGAGAGTGTCGTGTCTTTGCCCACATGTGTGGCGCTCATGAGTAGCACTCCCTTCTGGTTAATGGATCCGCCGATCACCAGCGACCCGACCTTCTTGTGCACCGGCATTGACTCGCCGGTGATCAGCGACTCGTCGACCATCGACTCGCCCTCAATCACTCGGCCGTCGACCGGTATCTTTCCGCCCGAAAACACTTTCAACACATCACCCCTTTGGACCAATTCCACAGATATTTTGATCTCCACACCATTGGTCTCCACCAGATTAGCTTCAGTGGCCTGAAGTGACATCAACTGCGCCAACGCTTCCGATGTCTTTCTCTTGGCCTTACACTCGAGCCAACGGCCCAACGATATGAACACCAGAAGCATCGGCGGTGTGTCGAAGAACGTGAGGGGACTGGCGTTGAAGCCACGGATCATGTAATACAGCAAAATACCCAGACTGTAGAAGTAGGCTATAGTCGTGGCCAACATAATCAACACATCCATGTTTGCCGTCTTATGTCTAATGGCTTTGTAGGCCTGAACGTAGAAATGTCGGCCACCGATGAACTGGACGGGTGTCGACAGTACGAAGAGTATCAGGTTCTCCAACGACAGGCCCGATATTAGGCAACACATGAATTCGTGTGAGCCCTGAATGGCCGGCATTGCGTACATGAAGAATAACATGACAAACATTGTCGGCACTCCAAACAACAACGAAAACAGAAAACTATTCCTCCACTTCCGGATCTCCTCCAACATGGCGTCGTCGGCCGAACTGCCGGCCGATTCGCTCACCGGATATGCCGTAAACCCCCGCTGAAGGGCTTCTATGCATTTGATTATATCTCGAGGTCCGACCACTTGCGGGTCGTAAATCACTTTTACTCTTTGCGTGTCAAACGTTGTCTCCACTTCGCGGACACCGATCTGTTTTTGTATCTCTTTTTCGATTAAAGTCATATCCGTCGCCGAATCCACTCCAAGAATATGTAGTTTTATGTCGTGAAGCGATTGCGCGGTTTGTGTCTCGAGAACCGTCACGTCGTATCCCATATCGGAGACAATATCGGCGATCTTCGCCGGTGTTATCAACTTTGGGTTGTATTCAAACTCTCCCTTCTGTGCCATGAGTGCCACTAAAGCGCTTTTAATGCCCGGAAATTTACCGCTTATAGTGACCGGTTCTGGAGATAAGAAGGCTTCGCTCTATGAAGTGATCTATTGATCCAATATTTGATTCAACATTTGATTCAATCTCTTTGGTGTCAACCCTTTGTCTCATCGAATTATATCATTAATTATAATTATTTAAAAGTCGTCTAATATTTAAATAATGTCTAGTATTTGTTTAATTTAATGACTGAATTGAAAATTAGATTTTTTATGATAAATTTGTGTCATTTCGTTAATATCAAAATTTTGCTATTTCTGTATAATTTAATTTGAATTTAATTGTGAATTACTTTTGAATTATTTTTACTCAAAAAATTGTTTCATAATTGGAATCATATCTAAAATTTTTATTTAAAATGAGTTAAATTTCATTAAAACCAGTTTTATTATCATTAATTAACTTTGTTTTATATGTTAAACATAAACATAATAACAATAAAAGTATTGTGTTTTATGTTGTGATATGTTTTTTTAGTGTAAACCAAAAGCTTTCAGTTTTTGATCAAAAGTTATGATTCGTATAACGCTTTTAACAGGAGATTAGATATGAGTGAATAAGTGGTTAATATATTGTTTAATTATTTCACAATTTGATTTCATTCACTATTGAATTCATTTACTAAACATTTATCTAATCTTTCGACTCTTGAATTCAAACAACAAATAATAGGATTAAATGAACTTAATTTTTATTCCTTCCAAAGAAAAGCTGATAAACCAAATAAAATACTATTAATAATAATGCCCTATATTATGAACATTGATGTAAAATATCAATAAAATATCAAATATACACTCAAAGCATAATATTATATTATTTGAGATGAAAATATATTTGATTGAAAACTAATCGTTGCCGCACTTGATTTGTGCCAAACTATAATGATTGCCAAACAACTAACAACTTGATTATCAAGTCCTTCCCTCGCCTTTTATACACGGATAACACATAGTATCGCACCGTCTGTTTGCCATTACAGCAAAACTTGGAGATATTGTCAATGAAACTAATTTGAAAGCATATCATACGAAGTGATCGTCCATTTATTTGCAAAGAGATGTCAAATGTTATTTGAAATAATCGTATCTCTAATCGATATTAATATTTGTTTCGCTAATTTCGAGTATAATATGAAATTTTTATATTTCTGCAAAACTTTTTGTTGATTATTAACTCAATATATAAAGTCTTATGTCTTATATAAAATGAAAAATTGAATATTTTCTTTATATACAATCGATTTGCAGTTTAACGAGTTTTTTGTCTAAAATTAAACTGATTATACGATATAATGTCGTTATATATTTAGTATAATATGTTATTGAATATACAGAATACTTATATAAAGATAATTTAATAATATATTAACATTTAAAAAAATTCTCATATTCTAAGGATATTATTATAAGTTGTATATGAAAATCGATATACAAATGAGATGTCGATAAAAGTTTTTGATTGTATTAAACAAATACTTATTTACGTAAATTTGATTACAATATCGATCGGTCTTATTGTAAGCTTTCTATTCAAACAATATTTACAAAATCCATGCCTTCATTATAGCCTCAAAGAAATCACATTTGATATATTTCTACTTTATTTTATCGCCAATTCTTTGCCGTTGAATAGAGAATTTGAAAAACAATAATATTATAGTGAAAGCTATATTATTTGGTGAGACAAATGATAGCTCTTTCTGTTTATATCAATAGTTTTTATAATGAATGGTTTGGTCTAAAGAATCGATGTCTCAAAAGATACTTATTATGTGAAGTGAAGATCAATTATATAAGTCAACAGTATATATGTATTGCAATTTATATATAGAAATACATTTATAACAAACAAATCCAACATTTTTTTGTATACAAATAATCAGAACTTAATGTCAATAAATACTTGATTATACAGTAGTGCCGGATATGAGTTACTGACCGAGGGATGGGATCTATCGGGTCCTCGCGTGTTATCACTTACATTCTCTCTCTCTTTCTCTCAGAATATCAACATATATTGTATAATGAGAGAGAGAGAGAGAGAGAGAGAGNATATATTGTATAATGAGAGAGAGAGAGAGAGAGAGAGAGAGAGAGAGAGAGAGGGAGGGAGAGAGAGAGAGAGAGAGAGCTGTTATTGACTGTTAACATCGATTAACTTGCAATTTGGTTCATTAAAAAATTGATTGACTTTTAATTAATGTTTAGCCAACGGCTTGTTTACACTTAAATGAAGCCTTCGTTAAAACTGGTTACTCTATAATGAATAGCATTTCTGAAATTAACATTAAAACAATTATTTAAATTGTGAATAATATTTACGAATTAAATGTTACATTCAGTGTTTGCTTTTAATTTCTTAACAAATACTTTCAGTTATTTTAGTTAAACCTAATGACAGATTTATACTGTATATACATTTATAAATTATATTTATAATTCTATTAATATTAAACATGTTTTTATTTGATTAATGAAAAAATATGTTATAAAATTTATAAAATGAAAATTGCATACAATTTCACACATGTTGTGCCAAATGTTTTTGTTAAAGTATTTTTTTATTATTACTATTTTATTTTTAAAGTAGTTTTAATTAATATAGTGTTTTTAAAATTCCAACTCATGTTTAAATTTATAACAGAATTTTTAGACAAAATAGAAATAAATAAAAAATTAATTGAAGTTTGTCTCAAACAAAATCATTTTATAGATTGTATATATTATTTTGAGTACACATTAAGCTATTTTTGATTGAGGTTTGATTTTTGTATAAATAATTTATGATTTATGTCTTTAGCATTTTTTTGATTCAGTAAATCAAATGACTTAATAAACGTGTCATTGTTTTAAGCGCTGATATTTTTATTTTGTTGATAGTTTTGGTCGTCTCCCAAATTTTGACAAAATTCTTAACTTAATTCTTATCAAATGTTTTTTGAAATAAAACTTTGTTTGTCTGCTTTGTATAAATACTCGACAGTTATCTGAAAACAAATACAAGTGAAGACACCGTTTATTTGTATTTCTTCAACCAATATATAAACAAATTCTAAGTCTCAGTCGTCAACGAAAATACTAAACACATTTAGTTTCACTCATTTTCCAGAATATCTCATCAAATAATAAATCAAATGAATTTCATTCATCCTTTCAGACACCCGTTTAGAAATGCTTTTTACACCAAAAATAATCTTTAAATTAACTATTTTCTAATTAAATGCTTTTGATTATTAAAGCATTTTATTCTTATCTGTGATTTAATGTTGAATATTGTTATAAAATTTGAAAAATAGCCAAATTTCACTAATTAGCAAATGATTTCTATTTTTGTATATTATGTTAATAATATTTATTTTTATTAAAAACCAAATTCAAAAATAAGCAAAAAAGGGGGGAAAAGGATGACATGTTTGTGGACATTGCTATTAGTGAAGTGATCTCTAAGTTATGATTTGACTGAAGTTTGTGTTATTTTAACAGTAATTCCCATTATTTTAGCAAACATTTCAGAGTCTGTTTTATATCGATAGCTGGGTTTGTGTGGTATTGCGGACTCCGATGGCAGTCACAGACCATAAGGTTTGTGTTTCGTATGATTTGTACGCTTTTGAACGGTTGGCCCCAAAGCGTCCAAAACTATAGAAAGAAATAGAGAGTTCTTATAAACACTCCAAACAAGTGAATGGATGAGAGAGAGAGAGAGAGAGAGAGAGAGAGAGGGCTGTGTTTAACGCGAAAAATATATGCAAAAGTGTAGTTCCGTTGCAAAAGATTTATTATAAACTGGCTTTTGCTTCACTATTGCTTGACTACTACTCATCTAATAATATTGCAGCGGTGGGGAGGAGGGGGAGGGGAGGGCATGGATGGCTGTATTTCATGTTTACCGACTTCTTCTTCTTTTACGATTTTAGTTATTTGTAGCCAAACCTCGATTACAGTCAGACATTGATTCCTCTCTCCCTGTGCTCTCCTCTCTCCTCAAAACATACAAAAGTGGGTTCTCTTCTCCTTTATCTCAATGTTGCCCCCAATGCTTGTGTTCACCATTGAGTGCCCAACCATTCTCTCTCTCTCTCTCTCTCTCTCTCTCTCTCTCTCTCTCCCTTCACAGCTACTCAATTGGTGTTCACTTACATCAATGTTCAGCACTTGCTTTAAAATTATTATTATTATTATTGCCTTATTTTTAGACAAACAGACATTGCTTTCGACAACTAAACGGGAAAAAAGGAGAAAAAATTGGCGAAACTTTTTTTGTTAACGTTTGTAATGTTTGCTGTTATTAACACTTATTTGCGATAACTATTCAATCATTAGATCACGTTTTAATGCAATAAATAATAAATAAAATCATTGACTTTTGACATAAATTATAATAATATTTATTGCAATTCATTAAACGAAATAATTTCTGAAATTCCGTAACCAAATCATAATCAATAAAAAAAAATGTTGAATTAATTTATGAATTTTATTATATTCTTTCCAATGAATTTGTAAATGAGTTTATATTTTATTATTTTTTCGGGAATAAATAAATAACAAACAAAAAATATTTTTTCGATCATATATTATATAGATTTATGACATGAATTAGATATGAAAAGACTTGAAATTGCATTTGTTTTTATACTCTAAACTTATTTTTGGATTATCTTTACTTAAACAGAGATTATTTGAATGGTTAATACCGTAGAGTTTTATAACAAAACTAATTTTCATTTTTTGTTTGTAATTGCTTTTCATTGAGTTTTGCTGATAATAGCGTTATTAATCTGAAGCGATAAGAAGTGATGCCGGAGTCGGAGTTAGGAGAGTATGAAATGTGCACAAAATAAGTGCTCTATTACTGCCATCACTGCCACCCCTCCCCATTCCTACCATCCCTGCCATCCCTGCCATCTCTGCCATTACTGCTACTTAATTTTCATTACGATTATCTGACATATCAGTGAAAAAATTAATCTCTTCTTCACTATTGAATCCATGACAACAACAACACTATCTTTGCGTTCATGTCTTACAAACTTTTCTGCCGCAACTGTAGGTGTGTTTCAGATATTACATCACAAACACATACACAGCCATAACATTCCCTCCCATAACAATGTTTAGGCGGAGATTGTGGCTGACATTCACACATCAAAGTCACCACCACTTCCCACTTCTCTCTCTCTCTCTCTCTCTCTCTCGTTGTGCTCTCACGCTCTCTCTCTTCTCTTCCTGATCTCAGAGTGCTTTCCAGTCCTTCCCATCCAGAAGCACTTCAACAATACATAATTATATACAACCACTACTAAACAACAGCTAACAGCTCTCTCTCTCTCCTCTCTTTCTCTGCCGGTTGTCTGGCATTGGGTTTACTATTATTATGAGTGAATTTTCAGTGCGTTTATTGCGTTCATTGCTTTCATTGCATGTTTAGAGATAAGGCAAAAATCATTGTCTAATGTTTTTAGCGATTCATTCGTTGTATTGTGAGAGAAGAAGAAGAGATGTGAAGAGTATTTTGAGGCAAAACTAGAAGAGAATAGTTATTTAGTTTTGTGTTGTTATGTATGTGTCTGTGTGTGGCATACAGTCTATCGTATCGTTTGCTCCGATAGTATAGTCCGTCAGGCAGTCGTCGGCGCATAAGCCTCAGGCCATACAAGTGCTGACTGTTTGGCATAACTTTTTAGCAAATAAAAAGATTTTTCCCTTCGCTTGTATTCTTCACTCATTCTTCAGTTTGTTTCACATCAATGTTTTGGTGAACTTCGCCACACATTTCATATGGTCTTCAAAGGCGTGTCCGCATAACCGCATTCATCGCTCCCATCCCTTACCAGCGCTGCTGTATTTTAACCTTAATCTCCGCCTCTCCTAAAAACCTAAACTTTAACTTTTTTGGTGATTTGTTTTGCTTTACAAACTAATTCAACGGCCAGTCTATGAGCCAAATGTGACACAACTCAGGCCTCAGATCCTCACAATTAGAGCCTGTATTGCACTCAACACTACTTTTACTCTTCATATAATTCATTGAAAAATATATTTCTTTTTTGGTTTTGTTTTATTATATTCTGTGAATTGTTTACATCTTTTTCTTAACGCTTTACGAATTGGGAAAATGTTAATTTAATAACAAAGTGAACAAAATATGTAATTATTTGAGAAAATGACTGCGAATTGAATTTTATTATCAAAAGTCAACCAAAAGGTTATTATTAAAAATAACTCAAAAGTTTGTGAAATATATTTCTCGGGAGAGACAAGAATCCATTGTCAGAACCGGAAACAGTGTTTTTTAATATACTGTGAAAACTCGATAATAAAAAACAAGAAAATAAAAAGTGTGTAAAAGAAAAGTGAAAGAAAATTAAAATTTGAATCAAAAGAGAGAGTCATTTGTCTATTTAGTTGTTTCTTGTATTGAAGTGAATGACTGATGCAATTGAGAGCCCGAAAAACAATCGTCTCTTTTCACTAATAAACTAAAAGACTATTTGAAGTCTAAGCGAGACATCAGTTTGTGTTGTATATTGAAAGTGAAGTACAGTTTATGCGGTGTTTTGCGCACAGATATAGACAGAGAGACACGACTGGGAAGGACTGGAAAGCACTCTGAGATCAGGAAGAGAAGAGAGAGAGCGAGAGAGCACAACGAGAGAGTAAAGTAGGAGAGAGTTGTTGTGTTTGTGAGAGTTGTGAACGTTTTTTGTATACGTTTTGTGACATATTATCGATTGGCTGCTGTTATAACAGTGTGTGAGAGCACATCCCTGTCTAGTGTTGGCCACCATTGAATATCATTGAACAGCACATCTCCTCCACATCTGTTACTCAATTTTTACTCGCTTTTTATGGACTAAACTCAGTAGTGATGAGAGAGAATCTCTCTTCTTGTTTGTAATCATTTCCAAGTGTTTTTATTTTTATTATTTTTCTCCCAAATTCTGGTAATTCTGGTTATACTCTAATATTTGCGTCAAGAATACAGACAAAAGTGTGAAAAAAAGAGTTAAACAACAAAATAATGTATAACTCAAGGCATCCGGTATGAGACAAGTTTTGCTTTACTCTTATATTGAATAATCGTTAAATATAAATATTTTATTAACAATTAACTAATTTTTATGAGTTATATCTAAAGAGATGTACTCTTCAATAGTTTAAACAATTTATGATTTATTTATCTTTAATTTTTTATCGCATTCTGTTGTCAGACAACGCTTTGTAAAGAAATGAAATACAAATATTTGTTGAATTATTATTAGGTTTTTATTGTTATAACCTTCACATTAGATTGTCGTTAATTTGTAAGATTCATAAACATTACCAACGCTTTTATGTGTGTTATATATCAATAATTTGAACCCAAACTTAATTAAGCTCTTGTTTCGCGATTATCTCATATTATTTTTTGTTTAATAATTAAAAATATTCAAAACTAATTAAACATTTATTTCAAACATTATTTTGTTTGGTTTCGTTTGAAACTTGAAATAAAAAACATTTACTGAACTTTAATAAAGAAATATTAAATGGAAATTTTTTTTGATTAGAATTTGCAAATTAGTGTTAATTATATTTTGAGATAATTGACGTTTAATTGAGTGAAATATTTATTTATATATAATTGAAAGTAAATGAAAGGAATTATTGAATTAATAGTTAAATGGAAAAACTATTTATGAGAAAATGTTTTCACTTTTGAAGTATTTGTTTGAGAAGTAATTGATTTTGTTTTTATCGAAAACTATCAAACATTTTGAGTGTTTGTTGTGTTTAATAGGAATTAGAGTCGATATTAGGATTAGATTTGAGTTAATCATCACTTTTTAAAAGTATTTTATTTACAGGAAAGGAGTGAATGAATACAATTAATTACTCATTAAAAAATGCTATTTACTTAACGAAACGAAATAATAGGATTGTGAATAAAATTAGTTATATTTAATAAAATATTTAATTATATTAAAATTAAATCTAATAAACTGTATAAACAAAATAATAATGTATGATAGGGTCCGCCACAGGCCGGACAGGGATTCAAATTCACGGTAACGGAAACGTGTGAACGGATTAAAGAGGAATTTAACTTTCTTCAGGCCCAGTATCACAGGTAAGCGTTGTTTGCATTTCTATGTCATTCACAGTATTGTATATTCAGATTATATAACGGATTAAATAATTAATAATTGAATATTTGATTAAATGATAGTTTGAAACTAGAATTGGAAAAACTCGCGACAGAGAAGACAGAAATGCAAAGACATTACGTTATGGTTAGTGAAGAGATTTATTGATTATACAACTTATATGATTACTAATGACACACAAATCCAAATGTTTTATCTCTCATTACAAGCAGTATTACGAAATGTCTTACGGATTGAATGTAGAAATGCATAAACAGGTAAGAAATCAATTGTTCGCACATTTGATAAATTATTTCTTTAACACAAAGTATTAAATTTCAAATATTCTCACGATTTCAATAACACTGTCTGTCGTCATCCAATCAAATATTTTGTCTATTACTTTATAAGAGTACAAATCATTTCAATTCAAGTATTTTTTTCATTGCATTTAATGTGAAATTAATTTATTGAATACCTTTTCCCCCAAATGTTAAGTTCAGTGAAATGTTTCATGTTTTAAATTTTTGAGTTTCGTTTTCCCAGCAAATTCTCTATCGAGAATTTATATCACGACTTATATAAATAATAATCAAATGCTATGATTGTGTGCAAAATCAAACTCCACTCTCGGCTAATGATAGGGTCCTATGTTTAGGACTCCCCATCACTATTACACGAGAGAGTAATCATTATTTGTGTATTAGAGCCACACATTACTCCAAATTATATTTCTTTAATTTGTTATTCACTAACTAATGAATACATTCTTTCCATCAATTACTTCATGTCATACACAGTGTGTGTATTTTATTCCTCTCTTTCATCCTTTACTTTCCTTTTTTGTGAAACGCTTTTCAATGATTAGAAAGAATATTATTTAAAAAGCGGAACAAATCTCAAATCACGGATTTATGCATTTTTAATTATATCCAAAAAGTTTAGTATTAATTATTATAATATTACTACTTTTACTATTATTATTATTATATAATTCACACACTCTTTATACATGTCTCATATAAAAGACTAATTTTATTTGCAATTCGAGAGAGAGAGAGAGAGAGAGAGAGAGAGAGAGAGAGAGAGAGCTGTTAGCTGTTGTTTAGTAGTGGTTGTATATAATTATGTATTGTTGAAGTGCTTCTGGCAAAACAGCATTAATTTAGACTTTATTAATGCAAGACTTATCAAACAATACATTATAAATACACTAATTTTGATAGTCTTTACAATTATATTCTGGTGTAAAGCCTGAGAACAAACTGAATAAGAGATTGAATGGGTTTTGATGGATGAGAGCTCTCTTTCCAACTCTATGTGTAAATTAATTCAACGTTTCAATGAATTAATAAATATGTAATTAAATTACAAATTCTTATAATTCATAATTCGGTGTTTAATTTCGATTCATTTATTCATTTTACAAACAAAAAATATTACAAGACAAAAATTTAATCAATTATTAGCGTTAAAATAAACACATGCTTTTAATTTGATTAAATTATTCAAATAAATAAATAGCCGTAAGTTATAAATTGTTTGTTTCAACATTTGATTGTCATTTCTTATCCTAAAAATCATCTCAAGTCTGCTTATCATATATTAATGCATAACTTTATTGTGAAGTATTAATAAAGAGCTATAGCGTCGGGCGTAGGGCTCAGGGATCGCGATATACGTTATAATTGGTATTAATGTTGCAAATGCTGTAAATTACATCATTTTAGTGAATGTTATGTTCAAATTATTAAGCGCTCCGATAATCGACTACACAATATATGCCATCACAAGCATCACAAACACTCCCTCCCTCTGCACAACACTCCCGGCGCTGTCAGACCGGGAGGCAGGAGAGAGAGAGAGAGAGAGAGAGAGAGAAAGAGGAAAACAATGGATGGGTTTGAGTGCA